GTTTCTTAGTTACGGGCGTTTTGGTAGTGCATTACACCGACCCTCCTGCGATTTCGGAATGGCGCGTGTGCATCAAATTTTGCCAAAGACTCGCCAAAACGGCTAAGGAAACCTATGAAATGCTAAAGCAAACATTTGGGGAGTCCGCAAACTTTTGTGTGGCATTCACGTTTTAAAAAGGGCCGGCCGAACCTCTGTCGATGATGACGAGCGTTCTGGACGACCATCTTCGAGCCCAACGCCCGAAAATGTTACGAAGATACGGCAGGCCATTCACGAAGATCGACGTCATACCATCAACGACTTGTGCGACATTGTTGGGATAGGCTATGGGACCTGTCAGCTGATTCTAAAGGAAGAACTCCACATGCGACGCATCATGACAACGCGCCAGCGCACACCGCCCTCAAAGTTCGGCAGTTTTTGGCCTCAAACACCATGGCCGTCATCCCGCACCCTCCTTATTCGCCGGATTTAGCTCCGTGTGACTTCTTCCTCTTCCCAAAGATGAAAATTCAGCTAAAGGGAAGGAGATTTGAGACGATAGAAGAGATTCAGACAGAATCGCAGATGGTGCTTGACAGGCTGAGTTTATGTACCTCTAAGGTTCATAACCGCGTTCACAAAACCCCGAGCTTCATATCACGCTCAGTCACTTAATCCAGTACACACTCGCAAAATATTTGTCTCCGCTGTTTAGACAAATGACGAAATTAGATTTCAGCTTCGTTTACCCTGTCTCAATTACTCGTCTCGTCACATACGGTCTAAATCTCAGGATTAGTTAAGTGTTATAGTGCGCTACTGACACATTCAGGAAGCAATGCAGCTCTGTTTCCTATTTGAAGTATTTTCCGACGACCAATTCATTTGTATGGGCTGCAGTACTCATCGCAAAGCGAGAAAGTCTGAGGGTGGAAAATGCTCGGGTTGTTTGTACACTCCACACCGAAAACGTGGACTGAAAACTAATCGCGCTGTTCCTCTCAAGTTGTCGTCTTAAGTAAATTGACTTGTCTGTGTTTTCGTCTCAATAAATCCCTGGACCTTGGTTCTACATTACTTGAATCATTTCTGACCGGTACTCGGCTGGTGTCGAAATAAATGTCACTTAATTTATTAATATAAAACATAAAAAATTGATGATATATTGTGTGTGGGTGAGGGCAGAATAACAAATAATTTGATATTTTTTTGGAGCCGGTATAACATACACCTCAATCCGTTTCCATCAGGGATATCGCCCTGACGATGGAGGCAGTAAACACATCTGAAACGTCGGTAAATTTCTACTAGACTACACGGCGAAATAAAACACCCCTCCACATAAATGCCGGGATATTACCTTAAATTAAGTTCTGACCGATTCCTTCCACATCGTTTACAATTAATTATTCACTATGAACCCCTTATTAGACGCTACATAGACTTGAGTTACTGAAGTAGCGTCGCTAAATAAACCATAAACAAACCATATCTGAGAAATCTGCACTACAGCCAGGCGGATATTGTTTGCTAACATCGGCTACAAGTACAACGGTACCCGATCAGACGACGGATAAAGACGTCCGCGTGGAAAAACCGCACACACGTCACTTAAAATGGCCGTTGTTCTTAGTTTTACCTGGCAACAGAGTAAATTGTTCCTGAAATGAAATGTTGAACCCCTGGGAAAATTTCGTCACAGAGGAAATGATTCTGTGTACCTCAGAACCACAGAACGGGTCTGAGGCAGAGCGTGTTGCGAACCGCGTTCATTAAATATTTGTTGTCTCCAAGTTAATCAACGAAATCAGTCAGTCTAAGCCAGATCCCTGGGGGGGACGAGGCAAGGCACAATTAGTGGTACCTCACCAGGTGGAGAATTACAAACACACTGCGAAACCTTCATATTAACAGCTTATTATACACATTTTCTACTAGTGACTTTTCAGGTTCCCACGGCGACGAGTATGAAAACTGCTGTCTTCTGCGATTAAGCCTTCTAGAAGTTTATCGATGTTTTTAGAAGAGTCTGCTGCCATTTGAATCGCAATGATGTAGGCAGTGAACATCTCTGAAACGTCGATCAATATGTACCTGACTACACGGCGCAACATCCCAGAACACAGTAATTTTCATCCTCGTCGTCACGTGTTTAGAACACGCTCCCAAAGTGCCATTGGCAGGGAGATTTGTTCCCATTAGAGATCTTACATAATATTCTGAAGTGTAAGGAAGTCATACGCTCGAAGTCTGTCACAAGGTAAATCTCTGCATCTGGCATACGTCAAGAGAATTACGGTATATATAGAATATTGAAATGAACCACATTATATCAGGGATCATTCACCATATATAGCAATTTTGAAAGAAAAAAAATCCTTTAGGAACGTAAAATCTAAGAGTGACAAATTCCAAAATGAACTCGCAGGTCCATTTAGAGACTTCCAGTCCTACAAACATTACGCTGTATGCATTTTTCTATATTCGGGCAAGATGGTCAGAGGATCTAACTTTATTGGAATCGGTCTTTCTGTACTAGGTGAGCTTTCAGGTTCCGACGCTACATTAAGGACATGACTGTCTTCTGGGATGTTGCTTCGTGCAGTCTGGTACAAACCGCCGTTTCTGAGCTACTCTGCTGATACGTCACTAAACCCGGTAAAATTTCACTTCACATAAACTATAAAAAGCCTCACGGAAAATATGATATAGGCTAACTCCATAGAGCATTCCACACGTCTTGTTCCAATGGCTCATCACTTACCCCCATTAAATCGAAAGTTAATTTGGAATTCGTGAGGCAACCATGTTGTTGTTCGTTCTACAAAAGCATTACATCAGGAATAGTTGGCAGGTTACATACATTCTACTGTATGCACTGTGATTGCTGTAATCTGATAACCCTACCAACATTATGCTAAAAGCACAAATTACAAATGTTTCCAAAATACATTTCCATCCGCTGCCATATTGCTAGCAATGCCGAAATATTCACAGCACACAACTCTTCCATTATAACCACCTGAAACCGCATACAAATCCCATCACAATAAAATTCCACCTTAAAACCATTCTCATGCGGTGAGTTCTTTCAACTTTCGCAATTTTAATCGGTCTTTTTAATGGAATAAAACATATCCTGCGCCCTTACGTTAGAAAACAAGAATTCTCGTAACACGAAGTCAAAGTGGAAAAACATTTAGGCTGCTCTTTGAATTAGCCGGATCACACACCACACTGAATACAAAGTTCAGCTTGCCGGTAGATTTCGTTTCATTTTTACCCCCTTCATGCATCCTTTTACAGAGTTTAATCTTCGTCGTCACGAAGGACAGCGATGTACGATTCAAGCATCATGGCTTCGTGGAATTTCAGTAATGACGACGAGACCAAAACTCTTTACCAGTTCAGCAGCTGCACGTATTGTCCACCGCACGACAAAATTCTAGTCGACTGCATTCATTAACTAATCGATTAATTTATTTCAATTTTATTTAATCCTATAAACCAGAAGCTCTTCTAAATAAAATATAAGAATTCAGTCCGTACCGCGAAGAAAACACGACACTTCACCATTACAAATTTGTTTCTTAGTTACGGGCGTTTTGGTAGTGCATTACACCGACCCTCCTGCGATTTTGGAATGGCGGATTTTCATGAACAAAGAGTGTGCATCAAATTTTGCCACAGATTCGCCAAAACGGCTACGGAAACCTATGAAATGCTAAAGCAAGCATTTGGGGAGTCCGCAATGGGTCGTGCACAAACTTTTGTGTGGCATTCACGTTTTAAAAATGGCCGAACCTCTGTCGATGATGACGAGCGTTCTGGCCGACCATCTTCGAGCACAACGCCCGAAACTGTTACGAAGATCGACGTCGTACCATCACTTGTACGACTTGTGCGACATTGTTGGGATAGGCTATGGGGCCTGTCAGCTGATTCTAAAGGAAGAACTCCACATGCGACGCATCGCAGCCAAGTTTGTGCCAAGGCTCCTGTCTGAGGACCAGAAGCAGAATCGACTTTTCGTTTGTCAGGAGCTCAAAGATCTTGCAAGAACCGACCCCAACTTCCTTTCTAAGCTCCGTGTGACTTCTTCCTCTTCCCAAAGATGAAAATTCAGCTAAAGGGAAGGAGATTTGAGACGATAGAAGAGAGTCAGGCAGAATCGCAGATGGTGCTTGACAGGCTGACAAAGAAAGATTTCCAGGGATGCTTCCAGGCTTGGCAGCGGCGCTGGGATCGTTGTGTTCACTCCCAGGGGAACTACTTCGAGGGTGATGTATGAATTTAATACCTGAGATAAGTGTACGGGTTTTTATAGGCGCAGTCTGGAAACTTTCTGATCGCACCTCGTACATGCATTTTTTGTGCTCTGTAATGGAGAATGCAAGAAGTTTTGGAACCATTGGTCCGGAGTGGAAGATAATCGTTTAAAAAGTGCCTGGTAAACGCGAGAAATTTAGCTGAGCGTCAAGAAGACAGTTTATTGCTACTGTCCCATTAAGGAGAACAAATGTTGTCGGTTCTGCTTCACCTCTGTAACCGCAGTGTCTTAAGTAGATAGGCACAAGAAAGTTTGCGTCCTTTTTTGCAAACTTGGACATAGTTTAGGCAATTATCTCTACAGCGTGGCGTTAAATTAGATTTCAGTTTATTCTCTTCGAAAGCCAGTAATACAGAGTGTCCCAAAAAATATTCAATGAATTTGCATGTAGTTACAGCACTGAATTAACCACGTGAACAAAATACAGACATCGTATTTTTTTGTACTGTCCATTAAGACGTCTTTTGATGAAGTTGATAAAGGATAACGAAAATATAGCATCAACCCTCAAAAAAATAAACGAAAATCGACATAAAGGCACCAATAAAAATTCAAACACAACTTAATGTAAAAACATACAACCCAACAGCATTATTTCATCTGGTCAAAAGGTACATCACAACCTTATATCTCTGTTTTCCTCAGGCACATCATCTTTCCTGTATTATTAATACATTTCACTCACCGCATTGCGCTACGCTCTCATCTTTTCCGTCGTAGCAGTCTGGAATACCGTTGCATAAACTCGAGTGAGGAACACAAGCAGAAGTGTCGCAATGGAACACAGCCTCGCTGGAATTGCAAGGGACCATGACATTTCCTCCAGGAACTGCTACGGTCCTGACTCCACTGCTGAGAACTGGCTCTGAAAGTAGACACACAAACTTATTGTACCTCATAGAACAAAATGTAACCAATCACAGAATTAAATTGGGCACAATACACGTATAAACACATTTCTTCCACAGTAGAATGCGACAAGGGGTGGCCATCACATGTTTTAAATTGGTTGTGGTGAAGAACTGTCCACGGTAGAAACGTAACATTTATTTTCATTTGCAGTATAACCATAATATAGCCACGGTGGCCTAGCGGTTAGAACGCTGGCCTTGTAATCCTGGGGTCTCGGATTCGATTCCCGGCGGTGCCCGAATTTATAACTTGTGTTGGGCAAGGCCGTGGTCTAGGCAACACGGAGTTTTCCTCCGTGGCATCCCAACAATTACCCCATTCACACACAGAAGAAGGCAATGGCAAACCACTTCTCGATCATCTGCCAAGAACTTATATGAACAGGTCCCAGTCCGAGAAAAGGATGGAAGGATACTGTTCATATGGACCTGTCGTCAGACAGAACACTAAAAATAAAAATAAAAAAATTTCAGGACACTTGCTGTTGTAAAAATACCACACCAAGTTTTACCATCGACACAAGTATACAGTTAAAAACAAATGTACAGTAGTCGGTACCCAACCGTGCGTTTCGCCAACGTCATACCTTGGGGGGGGGGGGGGGGGGAGGGGGAACATAGAACGCTGGCCTTGTAATCCTGGTGTCTCGGGTTCGATTCCCGGCGGTGCCCGAATTTATAACTTGTGTTGGGCAAGGCCGTGGTCTAGGCAACCCGGAGTTTTCCTCCGGGGGCTTCCCCGGTTTCTCCGTGGCATCCCAACAATTACTCCATTCACACACAGAAGAAGGCAATGGCAAACCACTTCTGGATCATCTGCCAAGAACGTATAAGAACGTCCCAGTCCGAGAAAAGGATGGAAGGATCCTGTTCATATGGGCCTGTTGTCAGACAGAACACTAAATAATAATAATAATAAATAATAATAATATAACCATAATAACCCTTTAACCCGTGCTAACACTTGCTAATCATACGAAACGCAAACCGCATAGTTAATGCCTGTTAAAGTAGCCGGTGCATTAAGTTACCAATGGGCTTTAAATGGTTAAATCAGGAATTTCAAGGTCACTGGCCGCAACGGTCGCCTAACTTCGTCGTCCCACGTTGTCTACAATTACATGAAACTAAACCTAATTATATCGACGGTTATCAGAACAACCCCACGAGGGTTAATGAACGAGCTCTTAACGAGGCATAATCCAAATACATGCGCATCTGTACAAATAAAATGGCGGGCAACGGGACCACGGTAATTTAAATTTCACATTAAACAGGGTTAGAGACGACAAGATAAGTCCATTCCGGTAATGAAACAAAATAAGGCGCGGCTACGTTTGCGTAGTTTAGGCAAATAAGCTTGATATTTGTACAGCAAAGTAGCAATGCCCATCAATAATATAATTGAAGTCTATTCAGGGATCAGAGGTTACTGAAGCAGTGGAAATATATGTATGGAAGCAATAAACACACATAATTGATTACGTACGCGTCTCTCAGCGAATCAGACAGCAGCTGATCGCGGACAAACGTCAGAGTATAATTTTCTTTCTTCTTAGTATTAATTTCCACAGTGACGTAATAGAATAAACGTTGTCTCTCCATCAGTCTATTCATATGTCTGCCCGTCTAATAGCGTGCATGATTTCCGAAAGTAACCGAAGGATTTCGATTAAATTTAGTACTGGCGTTCTACATTAAACATTGTAAATCTACGTTCATTTTTCTTCCTACAGGTTGAATATAATCCTTACTTCACGTAGGCTGAGTCTCAAAGAGAACACGCAAGATTTTATCAAAAATGACAAATGGTATAAAACTGTTATAGGGTATACGATTTAGACCTCATTTACATGCACATTTTTAATTCAAAGAAATTTACGGTAAGGTGTAACTTCTGACTGTAGTGTGATTAGCTTCTATTTGTAGTCCTTGGATTTAAAATGAAAGGATTCACCAACATCAAGGCAATCAAAAGCCCAAAGCGACAAAGAAAACGAGTTTCGAAAATACATGTATTCTTCTTCTTCAAGAAGCTTACGTCTCCTACGAGCCTTGCCTGCTGAAGAGTTCCCAGCTTTTTGAAATCCTCGTTAGACGTCTGGCTGGACGCTGGACTTCTCCCTGCCCACACGGCACAGTACAACATAAACCGAAGTCTCGGGTGGGACCGAAGCGCACGATTCCGAGGGCTACACGCCCGACACCGTGAGGCAGGAAGCATTGATAGCAATAAACACCTTATATAAAATTCTAAATAAAGCTGTCCGCGTGTTCACAACCCAAAAAACATCGCATTACGTTTTTGAGAACATTCGCATATACCTCGACACCAGATGCATACGAGAAGCAAGCTTCAAGTTCCGGCCGCTTTAACCCTACGTACATCAGACACGAGTTTGAGAGGACTCCGGAGTCGGTTTGGGAGCTACGGCAATAAAGCAATTTCTGTCCTGCCCTGGACTCAAACCTTGATCGTTCAGGCGTTGTCGGTGGATTTTTTCAGCTTCTTAATAAGCTGCGTATTTACTCTATTTTAAGCCGACATCGACTGTAAAACGCACCTTTGATTTAGTAACAGGATTTCAGTAAAAAAAAATACAAGACGCATTCCAAATTCGGAAATTTTAAATATGAAAAAAAGTGCATCTTAAAGTCGACGAAATACGGTAATTCATTTGCGCTCCGCGCTGGCAAAACATTTAAATAGGTCTGCAGCGGAACCGTGGCGGGTCCATATCTGGCACAGCTTCGAGGCTACTCGGTTATCTCAATTAATATACAAGCATACACACACAGGCTGCCTGAGTAAACACATCGCGTTATATGCTCTGAGGGACCCAAAACCAATCACCACACTGTTCACCAGTATCACAGAGTTGATTGGTGCAGCGGAAGACTCTAAAACTAACTACCCTTACACTCGCAAGATACTCGTGCGTAGCAGTAGGGAGTCATTCCGTTCAAAAGCAACGCGTGTGGCTGTAAATTTGAATGGAAACAGCAGGTCAACAGCGAGTTACCCGGTTCGAACCTCGGCTGGTTTACCGGCTGAAAAAGAGAGAACGTATGAAATATAAAACTAAGAAAAATACGTGAAAAATGAACCTGTCAGATTCAGCCCAACACCTGGAAAATCTCCTTTCAGATGGACTGTTTAACATTCAGACAGCATATAAATTGTGTATGCTATGTGATGGAATGACATATACACAAAAAAAAAAACAATTTATTTCAAAGGGTCAGAAGTATTCTGAAACAGCTTAGAACAGCGATCCGAACCTACTGACGTGACTTCGTAGGCCACTGAAATATCCTAGCGCAAGTACGTGATGTGAATAATTTGTAATAATTTGGAGGCTTGCCTGTGATGCGAATAAATTATCATATATTAGGCCTAACTCATATGTTACATCTCGCAGCTCATTAGTCACATTAAACAAGCAAAGGTGCTTCGCCACCACGAAATTTACGTACATATGCAAATCCTCAGCAACTCTGACGAATCATAAAATGTCTTAAAAATATATCGAAATTGCTGCCTTCATTATCAAGGCCAATCATTGTCAACAAGCGCCTCTGAAACGTCGGAGGACTTCTACCACAATACACGGCTCAAAACAACCCCAGAGGCCTTCAATTTCATGTTGTTCCAAGGGTGTCCATTACCCAACGTCTGGAGAGATTTTGGTGTTGCGATCTGCAGGCACGTGACACCTCGCCCCTTTACAAGCTGCATCCAGCCGAAACACAAACACACAGCAGCTTCTGATAAGCTATCTGCACCGAGAGTGTCGATGCATCCTTCATCAGCCCTCACGCGTTCACACATTTCAAGTGCTCACGACAATTTCTGATAGCGATTTGGTACAGTCATGGTAACGTTCTCGACATCTGCCTGAATGATAAAGCAGACGTTTCGGAAGCTGTATTAGTCTGTTGGTTACAAGCAAGTATATGCTTTATACACGTGTCCCTAAAAGACAAATACGTAATATTGACGTATGTAATGGCTGCGCGTATAAATCTCTTTGGACACCCTGTATGTACCCAGAATGCACCACGCTCCTACTTGATTCTTCCCCAATTCAATCTTTCCAATCTTCTGTCATTTGTCGATTATTTCCAGGTTTCTTACATCCACGCTTTCATTGTGTTCTCTTTCTTGCTTAATTAATTTTATTCTGGATAATTTGTTGGTCACGGGTGGCGAGGGCCGATCATAAGTCTAGCTGCCTAATGCAAAACAGAACAAACACACACACACATCCATGCAGAAGTGAGGTTCGAACCAATGATCGCAGCGTTATAGTAGCCGCACTTTAATTGGCTGATTCTAAGTCCACGATAAGTAATGCTGAATTATGCAACCTTCTTCAATGCAGAAGTCTGATAACTTGGGATGAACAAAACATTGACTCAGTTCAGAACTCAGAAAAAAAAGCCCTTCTCGCCAAGCTGCCTCCAGAGGAGGAGCTGTCAAGAAGAGTAATGTTGTTGGCAGACAATTATTTACAACTGCGCTGATGAATGGAAAGGCGACACAATAGTGTCGGCACTTCTTGGCATCTTACAGGTGTCGAAACAGCCCCCAGTGGTTAATAAAAACAGTTGACAATGGAACCACGGTTCCGGAGAATTTGACATAAATACGTCTATACGGAAAGGAAGTTTATATATTGGCTTTATTCTAAATATTTCCTTTATACATGCTTTACAATTGAGTAAAGTTTGATTAAGACATTGCTTATTTAACTTGAATTAGTTAC